CAAGAGCAGATAAAAATAAGGCAGAAGTGAACACTATCTAACCTGCCAACCAACTGGGACTAACAGAGTACCCTCTGACAGAGAGCCCTGTCGTTCACATGAGTGGCCGGGCTTCCTCCACCCAGCGCCTCTGCACCACAGCCCTGCCGTGACCTGCCAATACAAAGAACCGCCTGGGGAAAAAAGCTAAAAACTCGTCCAACACCAACTTTCCCTTCTTAAAAATTGAGCTATACTTTAAACCAGCAAAGTGTATAAATCCTGTGTGTAGAGCTTGTGTGAGGTTTTTCTTAAGAGCTTTTTTCCTATAGGGTGCATGTACTCTTGGAAAGACAAAGACAAAAAGACAGAAAGTGATAAATTACACCCCCCACCCCGGAATGGCCACACCACAATCCCTTCTCCTTTCAGGATTTTGGGCAGGCATGCACAGGCACCCAGTATGAGTTTTAAGCCACCAGGTCCAAGACTCAAACTGTGGTTGACTATGTGGGAGTCCACCAACATAACCATTACACCATCCGCTAGTCCAGCTTCTGTGAATTTTTACGTGTGTTCATCAATTTAACTCCACCTAGGTCAAATGAGAAAGCATTTCTACCACTTCATGCCACTAGTCAGTAACTTCTGTCCCCCACCTCCACTCCAGGTTAACCACTGTCCTTGCTTGTATGTCCCCAGAAGAATGCTGCCTATGTACTACCAACATGTCTGTGCCACTCAGTCACTGGGCACTCTGCCATCGCCTACCGCTATGCGGCACTACTGAGCAACCAGAGCTCAGCCTATCTACTCACCCGCTGACGGGCGTGTGGGTCCTGTTAGTCTGGGGGCAAGATGACCACAGACACCCTGAGCTTTCTGGAACATGCTTTTTGATGACTTAAGAATTTTGGGTATGTGTCTTGAAGTGGAACTACTAGTTTACAAAACAGGCACAAGTCGATCTACAGTAGACTCTGCCAAGTAGCTTTTTAGAGTGCTGTCTCTAATTTGACCAGGATGGTGGGCGAATGGTATCTGACTATGGTTTTACTTTGCATTTCTTGAGTAATGATGCTAATCACCTTTTTGCTTACTAGCCATTTATATAGTCACTCTTTTTAAGGCCCTTGTTCAGATTTTTTGTGATTTCTAAAATTATTTATCTTTTTGGTAATTTGCAGTAATTCTTTAACCAACATACGGATTTAAAAAGAAAACTTCCATTTCAATTTCTTTTCATTTGCCAGAGTGCACATATACTTACCAGAGAGAGACAGAAAAAGACAGAGAAGAGAGACAGACAGGGAAAGTGAAAAAGTACCCTCTCTCCTCTCTCCCACCCCCGGGGCCATGAGGGATGGTCATGCCGAGATCTTTTCTCTCCGTTCCCTTCCATTTCTCCCTCCTTTTGGGATTTTGGGCACGGATATTAATGTGCCCACATGTTTCTCAATCTCGAGGTGAGGGACTTGAACCACTGGCCATGTGATATCCAGCCACCCTCACCACTCACATCACCAGCTGGCCCACCTTTACATTTTCTTGATGTCTTTGATAAACAGAATTTTATTTTAATAAAGTTTAATTTCATTAAACAGCTTCTATTATAGCTAACGCTTTTTTTGTGTGTCACCTTAAAGAAATCTTTCAGGGACCAGCAGTTAGCATAATGGCTATGTCGCTGGATTCCCATGTAGTTGACCGCAGTTCAAGTCCCAAAACCGGTGGCTTAAACTCATGCTGGGCGTGTGTGTGTGTGTGCCCCAGATCCCAAGAGGAGAATGGAGGGGAAGGGATTGTGGCATGGCCATAGCCCCTGGGGAGTGATTTCTCACTTTCTGTCTCTCTGTCTCTGTCTTTCTGGCGAGTACACGAGCCCTATACCAAAAAAAAAACTCTCCAAAAAAAGTCTTTCCTACAAGGTCATGAAAGTATTCTCTTATATTTTCTTCTAGCAGCATGATTTAGCATTCACCTCACCCTCCATCCCTCTAATATCTCTGTTCTCTCCCCCTCAACCAAATCTGTCCTATTTGAGGTAGACCCATTTGATAACACAAATGGAATTAATTCATCATGTTCGTTAAGTGTCCTATTATTTAGAAGCAAAATAAGCCCATGATCCTATAACCACAGGATAGGGCTCTACCTCCTTTAAAAACACACCTTAAGGACCTATCACTGCAGCTTCCAACAACGTACTCCCAGTTCTAACTCGTGCTTGTAGGCACTTCCTTTTCCAATTTAAAGACATTTCAACATTTCTAAAAAAAACAAGTCCTGACACCGCAAATGTTTTGACTGTAATAGTACACGTATGTTGAGAAGATACCAAATGAATTCATGTCCCTTCTCCTCCTGCAAATTTTAGGGTACATATGAATTACACAGTATCTTTTCTGTCAATGAGTTCATATTAAGAAAAGGATAAAGAGGAAAGAACTAAGCACTTTAAACATTTACTCAACTAATTTGAAAATGAAGATAACCACCAAGATCCAGTATCCTTCAAATCTTTTTAAATAAATTTTAAAATATATATAAATGAAAATAAAAAACTCAGTACTATCATGGGACCGGCAGGTGATTAAGGCAGTGGACTCCCACATGGTCAATCGCAGTTCAAACCCCAGACCCAGTAGCTTGCTTTCTCACTTTCCATTTCTCTCTCTCTATCTCTCTCTGGTCAGGCTAAAAAATAATAGCAAAGTTAAATAAATAAATGCATCTAAAAAAACAAACAAACAACAATAATAACTCAGTACTATCCTACAATTTTCAGATAGAAAATCACACTATGAGACGTTTAGTTTATCTGGTTAAAGAATATATTATCTTTCATCAACTACTGGCAAGGAAACTTCAGAGCCAAGACCAAAATTTAGTTAAAAATGAGATGAGCCATGTCTCAATATACTCTACACACTCAATAAAAGTCTCATACATTCTATTATCTTCTCAATTGCTTTGTTAAAAATCGATGGCTGGGGACCAGCAGTTGGCTTAATAGCTATGTTGCTGGACTCCCATGTAGTCGACTGCAGTTCAAGTCCCAGACCTGGTGGCTTAAACTCACGCCGGGCGTGTGTGTACGTGCCCAAGATCCCAAGAGGAGAATGGGGGAGAAGGGACTGCTGGGGGTGGGGAGTGATATCTCACTTTCTGTCTCATTGTCTGTCTTTCTGTCGAGCACATGCACCCTATAGCAAAAAAACTCTCAGAAAAAATTAACGACTATTACAACACTATTAGAAAAATAAAGCTAAATGAATATGTTCAGACAGCCTTTAAGTGATTACTCAAAAGTCCCATTTTGGGAGGGGGAGAAGCCTCACAGCAGTGGTTAAAAGCTGTGTACAGAAAGCCAGTTCCTAGGCCAGCCCATAGCCTAGTGGTTACGTTAGCTGGATCACACATGGACAAATGTGCAGTTCAAGCCCTAGACCCAATGTCTGCCAATCATGTGTGTGTGCATGCCTAGGATGGCAAAAGGAAGGAAAAGTGAAAGAAAGGGAACTGTGGCATGACCACGCCTCATGTGGGGATGCTTTCTTGCTTCCTCTCTCTCCCCCCATCTCCCTCCAGTGAGCGCACATATCATCTGTCAAACTAAAACAAAACGAAAGAGAAAGAAAATAAAAGAGAGGAGGAGGGAGGGAAGCCAGCCAGCGAGCCAGATCCCACGTGGCGAACCATAGTTCAAGCTACAGCTCTGGCAACTTGAAAAATGCACCTGGTACATTGGTATGCATGCCCCAAATCCTGGCAGGATAGAGGAATGGAGAAGAGACTGTGAATGACCACACCCCACTGGGGGATGCTTTCTTTCTCCCCCTCTTTCTCTGGCAAGCAAACACCCCCTCTAGCAAAACAAAACAAAAAAGTCCGTTTTTAGAAGCCAGTATTATTTCATGAAATCAACTGAAATTCATTCAACTCACACATAAATCACATAGCACATTATATCTTAAACATTATATGACTGAAGCAAACCTAGACTTACCCATGGTGATGGCTCTATGGAACTGATGCATGTCTTCTCCTGAGAGCTCCTGGGCTACCTGGAGTATCTTCTGCCTGACACCATCCAACTTAATTTCTGATTCAGTCAGTATTTCTTCCATATCAGGAGCACTAGAATCAAGATACTGGGGACTTTCAGTCCATCATCCAGATGCTGTGATAGTGAAAACTGATATAATCTACGTACCAATGTAGAACCAACTACATACCTGTATGTATTTGGTTATTTCTAACGTCATACTACGATTAGGTTAATAGTTAATAATAAAACAGTAACATACTATTAATTAAAAATAGTACTTAAAATTATATGTATAACATGATCATCATAAAAATTTTGTTCAAAAAAAGACATCTATAGACAAATGCTTTCAGTCATAAGTAACAGACTGAATTTATCCTCCCACTATAAACAATTAAAAATAAATAAATGGGAACCAGCAGTTAGCATAATGGCTATGTCGCTGGACTCCCACGTAGTCAACCGCGGTTCGTGTCCCAGACCCGGTGGCTTAAAACTCACGCCGGGCGCATGTGCGTGCATGCCCAAGATCCCGAGAGGAGAATGGAGGAGAAGGGATTGCGGCGTGACCATCCCCCCTGGGGGGTGATTTCTTGCTTTCTGTCTCTATGTCTCTCTCTGTCTGGCTGGCGAGCGCACGCGCCCTATAGCAAAAACCTCTCAAAAAAAATAAATAAATAAAATAAATAAATAAATAAACAAAAAATGTTTCAGACACTGGACCACAGTAATCCCAGCAAGGGCTGAGGGGGAAATACACCCAAAGCTTGCCCCACTGCAGCGCCTACAGTTTCCAAGTGACTGCAGGAAAAAGAAACCTACAAGAATCCTCAGAGTCTGCCAGATAAGAAAAGGAGAAGGCAGGATTTTTGGGGGGTCAAGTTAGCTAAAATTCTCAGTAGAGAGCAGCAATAAGAAAGCTGCTCAAAGGCACCTTCAGAGCTATACAGAAGAGTCTTCAGCTGACTCAAGTCCTTACGCCTTCAGCTGACTACCGATCACTCTAAGAAACCACCCAAAGCTGGAAAAAGAACCACCCAAAATGAGCTGGCAGAACAACCCAGCCCAATTCTGAACAATCTTTACAGAGAGCCAGAAAGGGCTGATGTGGCACCAGCAGATTGACACTATAGAAAATACTGAAGGACACTCAAAAGGAAAATGATACCAGGTGGAAATGTGGATCTATACACAAAGAAACGAACACCAGAAATGGTTAACTGCAGATAAATATAAATTTTTTCTCATTTTAAAAATCACACTATTTAAAGTAAAAACAATAATGTATTGGGGATTACAATAAATATACAAGTAACATTAACTAAACAGTATCATAAAAGGCCAGGTTAGCACAGAGGAAACCAAAAAGTATAACTCTGTGAAGTTCTTATACACAAGCAAAGTGATACGCAAGCAATCCTATTTTTGTATGTTACTGTATAAACTGAAACATGTGCTTGTCAAATCCTAGGTCAATTTGAACATGCTGGGAAAATCTGTGCACACCTGTGGTCCTGGCAGGCTGAGAGGCATGGGGAGAATCACAGTATGGTGAGACTCCGTCAAGAGTTCCTATCTCGGGAACCAGCGGTTAGCGTAATGGCTATGTCGCTGGACTCCCACCTAGTTGACTGTGGTTCGCGTCCTGGACCTGGTGGCTTAAAACTCACACCGGGTGCGTGTGCGTGCGTGCCCAAGATCCCAAGAGGAGAATGGAGGAGAAGGGATTGTGGGGTGACCATCCCCCTGGGGGATTTCTCCTTTCTGTCTTTCTGTCTCTCTCTGTCTGTCTGGCAAGTGCACGCACTCTATAGCGAAAATCTCTCCAAAAAAAAAAAAAAAGTTCCTATCTGTCCGTCTCTCTCATGAAAGAAAAAAATTTTTTATACAATAATAATTTTAAAAGAGCCATGCATAGTGGTGTGCACCTGCAGTCCCAGCTGGGCAGCGGAGACACAAGGATCATGAGATGAGACCTTGACTACGTGTGTATACATATAACATACACACACACACACACACACGCAAAATATTCTTAACATGTACCTGTTGCTTGCATCCTCTAATCTCAATGTTCATAGTCAAGGAGTATTTTCATAGCTACTGTTCACTGAGATAAAGCATAAGAAATATATAAACTCTATCAAATTATAACAAATTTTAAAGATGACTACTCACCTTGTAATCCTATGAAGGAGAAAAATCGTCCTTTTACTTTCAACAGTTATATCCCGACTAAGTTTCACAAGTCTCTCGTACTTGTCGTGCCTGGCATCAAGCTCCTGCTGA